CCCAACACCAGTCACCATGGTGACAGACGTCAACAAATCATGTCATTGGTCAGGTCATAGGTCACTGTTTGGAGAAGAAGAAGAGGAAGAAACTGAGTAAAAACAACATGCTTTCCTTCAGTAAACATAAAAAAACACGGCGGGCCAAAAAACAAGATTGCTATATTTTGTCTTTTTTCAGATTGCAGACCTAGGTTAACAGGGGTTGATGCTACAGAACAGATCTTTTAGCCCTGTATTCAACATCATAATTAAAAGTATCCGTAAGCCAAAGCTATAACCGGTTTTTAACTCTAGGATATCAAAGATTGCCGTCTGCATCATAAACCAGTAAATGTGTCCATAATAATGTATCCAAGCCGAATAATGTCATGCCTAGAGCTGTGTACCGGTACGCAGTACCGATACTATACCGGAAAAATTGATTAGGTACAGGTCCAAAATACCTAATCCCTCAGTACCGGTACTGTACCTAAACAATTTCACACCAATTTTATGCCTATTTGTGACCTCAAATGTTTAAATAGCTGGTTAACAATGGGTGCCTGTGTAAGGACAGTGTGTTCATGAAAACAAAAACATCTTAGTTTTGCCTATATTTTATCTGAGCATTCGCCATAAACAAAGAATAAACCTTAACTATCAAGTTTATTTATGTTTTTTTGTTATTGAAGGAGTTCAGAAGAGCATATAAATTGGTCGAATTGTTCAGGTACAGGTTCAGGTCCGGACCTGTACCTAAACCTGTGTACCTGTACCTGTACCTGTACCTAAAATTTGTTTAGGTACACAGCTCTAGTCTGTTGGTAAATCTCCTCCAATCTCCTGAGCTGAAGACTGCAGTGATGTCTATATGTATGTAGAATATTAAACAGAGCACTAATCTTGGAAAAATCTTAGTTTCAGCTTTGTACATTTTGCTTCTATCCAGGCTGGAAGCATTAAAATCTGTGTGTGACTGTCCATAGTGTATTTATGTAGTAACAGTAGTAGTACACTGCCTTTTTTCCTCTTTCAAATTGTACATTTTTGCAGCGAATTGTGTGCACTAAATTGCCCTGTACATGAACACCTGACAGTTGACTCTAAACATCTACCAGTTTTGAGTTAAAATCTCACTAACTGGTTGCTAGATTACCTAGTAACATCTTTGAATAGGATAACACTTTAAATTTCAATTTTTCACCCACTATTGATAGCACAAGGTTTGCACTGTAACTGTAACTAACGAGCAAAAGTAACTCCATACACTTAACATCACATCCACACAAGGTATAAAGATATCTAAAGGGGTAATTATATCAGAGCAGCGTACACTTAAGACGTTACCTTGACTGAAACTGTTCCTGCAACAATACCATCTACTGTAGACTCTGCAAAAGGATCGAAGTGTCTGTCTGTACGTCTCATGAAGTCAGGCTTGAGGATGTAACCGCTCCTGTTGTTGTACTCAAAGAATCCCATGTTCAACTGCATGCCAAGATCTGTAGAGTAAGAAGGGGGAAAAAAACAGAAGGTATACCATCAAGCTCTTGTTCAGTTCCTGTATTGTCATGCTAAACACAAACAAAAATATTCAAACAAAAATATTCAGTTCTACGATTCTCTGAGGGTTTTTTTCCATGGATGCTTCTTTGACAGAGTTTACAGTAATACCAGAAGTGTAGGTATCGTAAGAATCATCCATATGCAGCACATTTCTATGATAGGGCACAACTCTAGAAATATTAAATATTCTTCTCAAAACTGTCCTTATATAAAAGATCAGACCTCTGAACTAGGAAGGTGCAAAAAATCAAGCATTTAATATATAATTCTGATAACAAAATTTGTAGTGAAATACATGTGTACAATCAAAACAGATGGAAAACTCAATGTTTTATGCCCCCCAGTTAAAATAGCTCTACACACTACAAATCACCTGGTTGGATGCCTCATATTATTATATTATTAGCCACACAGTGATTTACATCATCACCCTGGCAGACTTCAGGAAGAATTGTGTAAAATTTATGTAACACTAAATTGAATGAAGATTGTAATAAAACAAACAAACAAACAAACAAACAAAAACAAACTGGTTTCTCTGACTGTACACTGTGCCTTACCTAACGTTTGGAAGTTCAACGCAACGAGCTGGCAGCCCGCATTCCAGAAGACCTGGGAGAGATAAAGACACAAATATTCACCAAAACAGTACATTCAACATCCGAAAATAGTTTCATCAGGTTGGTTTAAGTATAGGATATGGGGGTTTTCTTTTACACAAGCAGTATTGTCTCTGAGGAAGGTGTCTGATAGACACCGAAACATAAGCAAAGTAAGAGACAATATTGGTTGACGTGTAAAAGAAAACCCTATATTCACGTCAGACTCTGTACTACATGTATTTTTTTTATGCAATCACCTTGGATACTACTTGGAACTATTATCAACCCAATAGCTTTCATACAATTCAAAATGCTTAATGCTAGTATTCCTCGACCATTGCAACAAGACCAATTGTCCTGATGAGCAAAACATGACAGAAGAAAATAATGCATGAAAACAAGTTCAGCACTTAATTCAGCCACAATGCATGATGTACAGGACCTGGTTCATTCATCTATGTGGGATTACACTTTACAAGCAATTTCAGGTCTAACATATATAAATACGAACAAGATAGAGCCTTACAGACTAACATACCAAGCCAAAAAGGTAAAAACATTCAGCTGTTTGAAATTCCCTCTACAGGCAGATTTCTGATGATGATGCACTGTTGGGATATTCTTATAACAACACATGTATCTAAAGTTGAGTTAAAAGTTAAGATAGGGAACATTTTGTAAATCGGAAATCAAGAGTAGACTAAGTCACCTTTTACATAGAAAATACATAATTGTAAGAAAGATGAGAAATACTATTGAGCATTGACTGCACATTACTCATCACTACCACTGATGACAAAAGAGCAGAAGTATACAGATAAGAATACAGCTTAAGACACTCTGGTTACCTAAAGACATTACACAGTGTGCTAAGAAGACACCCACTATGCCTCAAATATATAACAGGCTGCAAAAAAAGCTTTCAACAAAGAGTGACAAAATCAACACTAATATTTGTACAGCTCACACAATAGGATACCAAACAGTAACAGTTACAGTACATGATTGTCAAGTGGGAAATCCTCGTAAGCAAGTACAAGTTAAGTACTAACCATAAGGACTTGTTGGTAATCACTGAAACAATGTCGGCAAACCACAAATCTCGGAAACCACAACGGTGCGTGACTACAGGTACAGTCAAGTACCCCAGGCTGCTGCCGTGTGCTTACAGTGTGCGTCAGGAAAACAAAAGTGGTGTCTTTGGGATACATTCTGACTTTATACCGATCACCCATGGTTTATTTTTGGCACGCACGCCCACATAATCCTGGCCCCGCGCGTTAAAAATAACCACCTGTTACTAAAAGCAATATTGACATGCTAAATATAACTCCCGACACTTTACCGAGCCACAGGTGGCCAGGCAGAGCCTGCCCACGGCTCCCAGATCCAGGGAAGGCTCCAATTACTTTCTTTCGGAAGAAAACTGTGACCATATTTGGGCAGGCCTAATTCCAGGTAGGCAAACAGCCTCCCACTGACGTCAATGACCCGGCTTCATTTCCCTCCCGTCTTGTTGCTAGGCAACATGCGCTGCAGGCGACACATCGCGCATCGCTAATGACTTGGCAGGGAAGATCTAGTAAAAATTTTGTGTTTTTCTGTTTCAGTCCTGAAAAAATTAGGGCCGGTGGATGGGGATTATCTTTTTCTTTCTTTCCTTTTTTGATTAGACGTTGGCAATCTCTAGTGATCCAACTTATACAATACAGTTTAACAAAGTCAGACTTGCATTTTCAACAATGTCAATGTTGGAAAACCAATTGCACAACATTTCACTACAGATCATGGAGCTAGAAATTGTTGATCAGCACAAAACATGTACATGTATGTCCCTTGCAGGGATCCACCCCCCAAAAAAGGCTAGGGCCTGCAGTTTTTTCTAGGGTCGGTTGGGAAACAGGAAACACAATATTTTTTTCCTAGGCCTGACTTGGGCATGGCTGGCAGGCAAGACATCTCAAGCCGTGGGTTTGTGTAACCAATAACCATTACCTGCTGGATCTATTCAGGCTTAATTTCTTTAACGACGTAACCTCGTTGTAGCAGTTGGTGGTGTGGTAACAGTTATCAAACGATGAGTACAACATTCGACTGGAAGAAATCACATTTTATTTCAGGTCTAATGTTACATGTGTCGTGTTCATGTACTGTTATTACATGTATATCTTGCAAAAACTCTAGTTTATATCTTACATAAGCTGCATGAAACGTTACAGTAACAACTGGGCTTGGATTAAGTGTTATCTAAGACCGATATTGAGGAAATCCATACCAAAAACCACCATTTGCCATTGCAGCACATACATGTAACAATGAAATGGAAACCATGTGGGCCTGTGCCAGAAGTGGGATTAAAGTGCCAGCAAGGCTAAGAAAGGCTGATGCGTTGGCCAAACATTGGCATAGCTTTTTCTTTTGAAGATAATTTAGCTAGTACACATCAAGATGTTAACTGCTAAACACTGATACTGATGCATTAGTAATGGTGTAGTAGTAGGTATAAGGTCTGTTAAGTAAGTACGAAGGATTCTAAAGCTTCCATATGGCAAATACTGACTCCAAGTAAACACAAGTAAACATGAAACCGAATCCCTGCATCAGGTGCCACAAACTCTAACAATCCATTAACAGGAACGATCCACTTCTGGATAAAAGTAACCTTTCGTACGACATTTGCCAACACGACATTAGCATGATTGCGTGGCTCTCAAATTCAAACCCTTGCAACCAAGGTAAACAGGTACCTAATATACAGCGGCGATATTATGTTACAGTCACACTTTTGCTTTCACTCTAACTTAATAACCATAATTAAATGAGCACTAATTACAAAAGAAATGGTTAGTAACATTTCCTATCATGTTCATATCAACTGAAACATATATTCAGCATTACTGGGAAGCTAAACACAAGAAAAACAGATGAACAAGATATTTGGCTAAAAAAAAAAACCTGGAGAGTTTTTTTTCTAAGAAGAACGGACCACCAGTTCATACATTGAAGACGAACAATATTTTAAATTGTACACTATATAACGATAAACGCACAGAGCTGTTCATCCTTCTCTCCACTTGCTCAGCAGAATTTCTTACATTTCATGCTATAGATAAATTTAATTTCATCCTAGAAGGTAATAACCCTTACTGTGTACAAATAGGTAAATATATCAAAGAATGTTTAGACCTTAGAACGAGTAGTATTAGTTGACTCATCTACTGTTTTGTACGTAGGTTGATTTCGTCCCACCCATGTATTTGTCTGTATATCTACATGCAGTTTTAGACCTTACGAAAGTCGCTGTACTTGTTGTTGTGTCAATAAAGTTCTTTACAATCATATGACTCCCTATGGACATGTGGCTAGACTATGGCTACTTGGAAAGTACACCTATTATGTGTAAGGATGTAAGGATCAATATAACTTACAAAAATACTAGCCTGCGGGGGGGTGGGGTGGGGGTTGGCCTATTACTACTACTAGTTCCTTACGATTTAATACAACACAACAATTCAATATCAAATGATGTGAATTGCAAAATATTTGGCAATGGGCAGTCTGGAATGGCTCATTTCTACTATGCAAGATTTCAATGTCGAATGACGTACATTGCAAAAATATTTGGTCAGTCATGAGGCAGTCAAGAATGACTAAATAGCTAAAATACAGTTTCTTATAACAGTCCATATCACATGATTTATTAGAGTTCACTGGAGTTCAGCCTAGCTGTAAGCCTATGATCTCAGTATCGAATGACATAAATTGCAAAAATATTTGCCAATAGGCAGTCCAGAATAACTCATTTCTACTACGCAGTTTCTTATAATAGTCCACATCACATGATTTATTAGAGTTAACTGGAGTTCACACTACCGGTCGTTCACTGGAGTTCAATGTAGCTGTAAACCTAACATTTCAATATAGAATGACGTACAATTGCAAAAATATTTGCCAACAGGAAGTCAAGAATATTACTAAAGTAACTAAATATCTACCACGCAGTTTCTTATGATAGTCCACATCACATGATTTATTGGAGTTAACTGGAGTTCAAACTAGTTCACTGGAGTTCAACGTAGCTGTAAGCCTATGATTTCAACATCGAATGACGTCAATTGAACAAATATTTGCCAGTAGGTAGTCAAGGATAACTCATTTTGAAAAATTGAAAATTGAATTTCTATGATGCAATTCCTAATAAGGCCATGTTGATTTGATTATATGGATGACATCCGCGCGCGCATGAATTTTCGGCCGTTTACCAAAAAAAAAAAAAGTTTTCAACCATACTGTAAATCGTACAAAACAGTTGCAAAATGAGCAAAAATATACCATAAAAAAAAATTAATAAAAACTATACCAATGTCGTAGAATGCCAAAATCAAACGAAAAAAGACGAAATTGTAAAGAAATGAATATGAAGACTAGATTTTTCGCCAAACCATATTCTGTGCCATTTGCTCAACCATCATGACCACGTAGATTTCATACTGAAAACAACTTTTTTTTTTTGGCAAAACTTTTTTTTTATTCGCACGCGCGCATCAGTTTTGGGGCTCCCGGAGGATGTCATCCATATAATCAAATCAACATGGCCTAATAG